CAATATCTGCACTGGGAAATCTGCAACTTCTACGGGAAGGAAACTGAAAGAAACTGGTATGAACACTACCCAGGACCTGTTACAATTCTATGGGACTACACAATACACACTGACAGAACAATCAAAGCCAACCGCCCAGATATTGTTATTAAAGAACACAAACAAAAACGGTGCCTCCTTATTGATATGGCAGTCCCTGCTGACTGCAATGTATCTTTGAAGATATTCAAAAAGTTGTCAAAATACAAGGACCTTGAAATAGAAATCTCGAAAATGTGGCATAAGGGAACATCAACAATCCCTGTTGTAGTTGGAGCTCTAGGACTGGTTGGAAAAAGATTGCAGTAGACTAATTGAAGGAATTTCTGGAAGTCCATGCCTCAGGAGTTACAAAAAATTGTTCTGACAAGTACAGCCCCACACTTTACGAAGGGCTTTATCTATGTAATTTTTTTTTGTCAGTGGAAAGTGTCATGATGCCATTTCTAACCTTAGGTCCCTGGGCGGGACCCAGAAAAAATGTGTAAACGCCAGAAATCAAAGAAAATAATAATAATAATATTAATAATAATAATAAAATAAAAAAAAAATAATAATGATAATACGTATAAAGTTTTAATACATTATTTTTCGCTTCAGCCATGCTCAATTTAATCGTTACACATGACATCACTTTGGACAAATTCGAATTTCAGCGCTCCAATGAAGCCAGGCTGTATCCAACAAAACCTTCTCTACCACATGAATAACACCCAGTTCTTGATAGACTGAGACTACCAAAAGTACTTCAACAAGTTGTTTGGTCGGGTTACATAATTTTTCTATGCGATTGTTACACTTGAAATTATGATATTTTCGCATTGATTTGATCTTTCTGCCTAAAGCGAAATCCTTATTTACATGAGTTTTAAATTATAATGCGATTTTGGGATAGAATGATTGTACCTCTATACAACGCTATTTACATTATTCGGACTATTGTCCTCATCTTTGTCACCATATTTATTACAACGGTTCGGCCGTTGTGCGACCCGGCCTTCTTCAGGTGGTTGGCATATCGAACTGAACCCTTTATTATCTGTCTATATTTCTGAGATGAGGTGTTATGTACACAATTTAGATTATTCGGACTATTGTCCTCATCTTTGTCGCCATATTTATTACAACGTTTCGGCCGTTGTACGCGCCGGCCTTCTTCACGTGGTTGGAATGTCGAACTGAACCCTTTATTATCTGTCTATATTTCTGAGATGAGGTGTTATGTACACTATTTACATTATTCGGACTATTGTCATCTTATTAGTGCATCGTGCTGTCTGTGGCACTCTAAGGTAGTGTTTAAGCAATGGCACACTTAGGAGCAAATGAAAATATCATGGTACACTTAGCAAAATTTTTGAAGATACACATTTAAATGTTATGAAATAAAACCATAAATTAAAAAAAAAAATACACACACAAATATGAACTTAGTTTAATTCAACCTGTGCCTGGTGTTTGTTTTGCAATTTCTTCAATGTTTGTTCGAATGTGCAATAAGCAGATCCTCATTTCTTCTTTAGTTGAGAGTAGTCTTTCTTGCTTATTTTTGATGTTATTTAGGGTTGAGAAACCTAATTCTTATAAATAAGTAGAAAATTGCAATAAAAGTGATAAAGCTTTTTTTGCTTATGTGGGATTAAAAGTTTAATACTAACTCCTTTATTCAAATACTAACGCTGTACCATTATTACTCGTCCTGGGTATGACGATAAACTACCTCCGCGTCCTGGGTAGGATGATAAACTACATCCAACAGCAAGGCCTATCAGGAGGTTTTGAGGAGCGTGGAAGCACCTCTTAATTGCTGGTGTTCCCAGGTCCACCCTGACCCGGGCTGGTAGCACCTGTTAGGATCCCAGCTATGGGCAAATAGTTAACACCCAGATTACATCCGCGTCCTGGGTATGACGATAAACTACGTCCAACAGCCAGGCCTTTGATAATATGTCTTTGAAAAAATAATGTTGTCAGCTATACGTTTTTGAAGACGAAATATTACGAGCTATACGTTTTTGAAAAAAAAAAAATTACCTGCTATACGTTTTTTTAAAAAAAATAATATTACCTGCTATACGTTGTTAAAAAAAAATATTACTAGCTATACTTTTTTGAAAAAAAAATATTACCTGCTATACGTTTTTTGAAAAAAAAATAATATTACTAGCTATACGTTTTTGAAAAAAAAATAATATTACTAGCTATACGTTTTTGAAAAAAAAAATAATATTACCTGCTATACGTTTTTGAAAAAAAAAATATTACTAGCTATACGTTTTTGAAAAAAAAAATATTACTAGCTATACGTTTTTGAAAAAAAAAAAATTATCTGCTATACGTTTTTTGAAAAAAATATTACCAGATTTTTGAGAAAAAAATATTAACAGAAACAGATTTTTGACAAAGCAAAAACATTACCAGGAAAGAAAAAAAAAGTTGTCGGCATTAAATGACCCATTGAGGTTGATATGCCGTAAAACAAAGCAAACCAAACCAAACCATTATTACTTCCATACACACACATCATTACATTAACAATATTTCACTGCACACTTACGAGGACCTCGCGGCACAATGGCTGAGAATCACCTGCCCAGAAGAACTCTGCAAAGGGAATTAGAAAACTCGATGATCTGATGAAGACTTGAGATGATCGCATTACTAAAATCAGCAAGAATAGAGTACATACTGTCATTTGCACCGAAACAATGGACTAGTTATGTTTTTTTGTTTCGTGAGAAAACGCAATGATTACATGGTTCTTTCCAAAGGCCTCGTTGTAAGATCGCATGAAGCATATCTGAATAGTCGTTCAACATATGTTAGCCCTGCAAGCGTTTACGCTATCGTCAAGTTCTTTCTCCCAGGTCGGTTGATGTAGGCTGATTTCGAATGGCCAGTCTTACTCTTATCCAGGCGATCAATTCATGCATTGGTTAAAGGTCTCTATGCTTTTTTAGAAACGACCTGATTAGGAAATTAGTAAACACCTGTACAGGTGGTATCATATTTTGTAGACGTATTTGCAAAAATCTAAAACGAATAAAAAGAAATCGATAAAAAAAAAAAAAAAATAATCGAAAAACATAAAAAATAGGAAAAAAAAATTCGAAAAAAAAAAATCGAGAAAAATAATGAAAAATCGAAAAATATCGAAAAAATCGAAAAAATAAAAATAAAAACGAGAAAACTTTTTTTAAAAATCGAAAAATATCAGAAAAAATAAAAAATCGTGAAAAAAAAATTAAAAAATTGAATAAATAAATGATCGAAAAAAAAAAAATCGAAAAAACCAGTTGCAACTGATCTCCGTTCTGCTCAAGCTTTAACTGGTCAATTGTAAAAAATAACAAAAAAAAAAAAAAATAAATAAATAAAATCGAAAAAATCGCGAAAAAAAATTATTTTTTTCACGCTTTTTTCGATTTTTTATTTTTTTTTAAATCAAAAAAAAAAAAAATCGAAAAAACCAGTTGCAACTGATCTCCCTTCTGCTCGAACTTTAACTGTTCAATTTTCAAAAAAATTAAAAATAAACCCCAAAAAATGGCCTATACCTTAGAACAAAGCTACTATCGTTTCATGATAAGTGATGAGACCCCTGTTTAGAAACTGATAAGGCAGCTCAATTTCAAAAGGAAATGAAATAACCAGTCCAAACTCGAAGATGCAAGAGTAGAAAGAACTGTCGAAATCCGGAATCGCAGGTCCAATGTCAAAAATCCCAATACAACTAAACGGTCGGAAATCCAACGCACAGGGCAACTGTCACAGTCACTCGCAAGCCGATGGACCGGGTAGAAAAAAAAACTGCTCTCCAATCCGAGAATGCCAACCGCTTTTATCAACGGAACATTTTTTCTCATTGGTTGACAGTTGGAGAGGACACACAATATTAGCATATCCGAGATGCATTTATGGCAACAGCTGCCACAGACTTGTTTCTAATTTGGTTATTTTGTCTTTGGCCTATCATGCAGAACACACGAACACACAAAGTTGCGGTAAGTGACTTTCTCTGTCTCCAGTCAAGATGGTGATTTTCTAAGCGTAGCTTCGATGTGCCACAAAGCGAAAAGTATGAGAGCACCTAGTGAGGATCGAACACACTACTCAGCTGTAACAAGATTCAGCAAGACAAGCTTGCCAACCATTACACGACGTCGGAGTGCCACTTTCTTGAGTCAAGATGAACTGTTGAGGCCCCATGCTTTGGAAGTCTGTTGGGTCCCAAATTCACTCGAAATGTCGAGTGGAAATCATACGACCCATTGCTAAATAAGCCAGAAAAAAATATCCGGCCCCTTATAGGGGTCCAAGGTGTACCTGGCTCGTTTCCATGCTCTCGCTTGACAAGAATCAGATTAAACGAAAAACGAAATGGCTGTCACATTGGGGCTGGGCCTATTCAATCTTCACCTTCCGGCCTTGATAGAGTTGAGAATCGTTTACAACATCTTGAAGTAGAAGAGTTACTTCCCATTCTACAGCCTGTTTCCCCAAAGGCGAAAATGTCGCAGATCTATCGTTTCTCTATTGCTATTTCCATATCAAAAGTTCAGATGAGCGCTCCATTTTTTAGTTTCACCAGTTCAGACCACTATTGCTAGGACAAGAAATGCTACGTCGACGGAGATGAATCATCCTCATTTCCCCCGTATTCCAAACGAAAGAAAAACGTCCCACAAAAAGGGCTTTTTTCGTAAGAACAGCAACTTTTTGGAACAGACTCCCCTGTGGATGCTTTCCTGAACACAGCAATTTTAATCTCTTTATGTCATGTGTTGATTATTATCTAACTGCCTTATCATCATAAACTTCACTTCCTACCACCTCTTCTGTCATTCATATAACACACCTCATTCATCAAAACCATTTCAACGGTGGTTTCTTTTGAGGGCTTGGCCAACCGTTTATTGGATAGAAAGGTAAAAACGTGAAAATTTCGATAGTAAAATTAGTATCGAAAATTTCACGTTTTTACCTTTCTTTCTTTCTTTCTTCGACTGGCCATTTTCATTTCTTTCTTTCTCTCTTTTATCACACTTTTACATTCTTTCATTGTCATCTACGTTCTTTCTTCCTTTCTTTCTTGCTATAAAAATATTTTTTCAATAATAGCAGGTTTCTTTCTTTATTTCTTCGGCTGGCCATTTTCGTTTCTTTCTTAGGTTAGCCATTTTCATTTCTTTCTTTCTTTCTTTCTCTCTCTTTTATCACACTTTTACATTCTTTCATTGTCCTCTACGTTCTTTCTTCCTATCAAAATATTTTTTCAATAATAGCAGGTTTCTTTCTTTCTTTCTTTCTTTCTTTGGCTGGACATTTTCGTTTCTTTCTTTTTTCTTTCTTAGGTTGGCCCTTTTCATTTCTTTCTTTCTTTCTTTAGTTGGCCATTGTCCTTTCGTTCTTTTTTTCGTTCCTTCTTTTTTCTTTCTTTCCATCACTCTCTTTCAATAATAGCGGGTTTCTTTCTTTCTTTCTTTCTGACTTTCTTTTACTTACTATCACTGTCTTCTTTCAATGATAGCATGTGTTTTGCTTCTTTCTTTTTACAGGTGGCCATTGTCCTTTCTTTCTTCCTTTATTTCTTCAACTGGCCATTGTCTTTTCTTTCTTTCAATATCAGCGGGTTTCCCCGTTTTTGCTTTGCTTTTCCCTCTTTCATTCCTTTTTTTTTTTAACTTTATACATTTACCAAATAGCTAAACTCACCCTTACCCGACGAAAAACAAAATTGAAAAATTTAAAAGAAAATATCACTACTATTTTATTAGTTTCTTTCTATTCATACCACCATTCATACTCTGGCTTCCATCTTCAAAGTTCATCCAAGAACCATTAGGAGAACGGCGAAAAAGTTAAAATAGAAGGGACAGTAAAGAAGAAAACTAGTTTAGGAACTCACAACAGGAAGAGAGATCAACATTTCAACTTAGAGCTAAAGAGATCAATTAGAAAAGGTCCAACTCAATCCATAAGTCGTTTGGCACGTGAGAGAGGAGTTTCAGCTATGACAGTCCAAAGAGAAGTGAAAAAAGACTTTAAAATAAAATCGTATGTGAAATCCAAGAGGCACCTTGTTACTCCAGGACACAGAGTAAGAAGGTTAGAGGCGGCGAAGATCAAATTGAATAAGTTGGAAAATGAACCTGGAATATATATAAGTATAGGATTGGTGTGTACGGAATAAATTTCAATAAGCAACATATCCTATTCTTAAAAGAGTGCTCAATACAGAGCAGAGCAAATACAATTATTTATACGAAAAATAACATAAATATGTTATAAAATCACTACAAAAAATAGCCATTTTGTTTTAACACTTCTGGCGTCGCTATTTTTGTAGTGATTTTATAACATATTTATGTTATAATTTTCGAATAAATAATTATATATATATATATATATTTGAACTTTATTTCTGTCCTTCATCAGCTTCCGATCCTTAGCTATGATTTATTAATGATGATCATGTCATTTTCGTTTATGATTGATTTCATCACGATTCTTCTGTTAAGCTTAGAGAGCAATTATACATTCTTATTACTCAAAGTAGAGTTGAATAATGTTTTCAAAACCTCGGAGAATTCCAGTAAGATATCTTTAATCATTTCTAAGATACAACGTTTCAGAACTTAATCTACCAAATGCCAATTTTGCTTTTTGACACGCATATTCCACCGGCGACATCGCTATCAAATGCATCGTTTGCAATTCCGTCACGTGAAATGCTGCGGTAACTTGCAACAGGATTCCTTTTATTTGGAGACTTACAAAAAGTGTGGAGATAAGTTCTTCTTTTTAGTGGTACTTTGTACTTTCCATCTTTATTGTACTTTTTGTTTCATCTCCAATGCTTTTTCTAGTCTCAGAGACCACAAAAGAAGACAAAAATATTGCCCGTCAATGTATTTTTCCTGGCGTTTTTTTGTTTTTGTCTCATGTATCTTTGTCTTCAGGATATGACTTGCCCGCCAATTTCAGAATCTGCAAAGCAACCGATTTCTTTACAGAAATAAGAAGGCGGTGGCGGAAAGAAATTAAACAAAAGAAGGAAAAAAGAGAAAAAGTAAAAATAAATCTGAGAGACGAAAGAGAAAAAGAAAAATTTTTTTCACAAGGAATCGAAGACTTCAAAAAGAAAAAATGCAATTAGTCAACAAGTTGGAAATAATCAATGGCAGAAGAAAAATTAAAAGACAAAAATAATGTTAAGAAGAAATGATGAGAGGAGGTGAAAGAAAGAACAAAAGAAAGAAAATAAATAAATAAAGAAAGAAAGTACAGTGACCAGTTGATGGACGAAAGAAAGAAAGAAACAAACAAAAGGAAAGAAGGGTGTTTAAAGAAAGAAAGAAAGAAAATAAATAAATAAATAAAGAAAGAAAGAAAGAGAGAAAGAAAAAATAAAGTACAATGGCCAGTTGATGGACGAAAGAAAGAAATAAAGAAAGAAAATAAAGAAAGAGAGAAGAAAGAAAGAAAGAAACAAACAAACAAACAAAAGGAACGAAGGGGCGTTTAAAGAAAGAAAATAAATAAATAAAGGAAGTGCAATTGCCAGTTGATGGACGAAATAAATAAATAAATAAATAAAATAAATAAATAAATAAATAAATAAATAAAGTACAGTGGCCAGTTGATGGACGAAAGAAAGAAAATAAAGAAAGAAAGAAAGAAAGAGAGAGGGAAGAAAGAAAGAAACAAAAGGAAAGAAGGGTGTTTAAAGAAAGAAAGAAAGAAAGAAAATAAAGTACAATGGCCAGTTGATAGACGAAAGAAATAAATAAATAAAGAAAGAAAATAAAGAAAGAAAGAGAGAAGAAAGGAAGAATGAAAGAAAGAAACAAAAGGAACGAAGGGGCGTTTAAAGAAAGAAAGAAAATAAATAAATAAATAAATAAAGTACAATTGCCAGTTGATGGACGAAAGAAAGAAAAACAGAAAGAGAGAAAAAAGAAAGAAGAGATAATAGCCAGCTGAGGGACTAAATAAAGAAAGAAAGAGATGAAAGAAAAAGAAAGAATAATGAACAATTGAAGAGAGAAAGAAAAAAAGGACAATAGCCAGCTGATGACGAAAGAAAGAAAGGCAGAGAAAAAGAAAGGACAATTGCCAGTTAAAGAACGAAAGAAAGGATAATGGCCAGCTGAAGGACGAAAGAAAGAAAGAAAGAAAGAAAGGATAATGGCCAGCTGAAGGAAGAAAGAAAGAAAGATAGAAAGGATAATGGCCAGCTGAAGGAAGGAAGAAAGAAAGAAAGAAAGAAAGAAAGAAAGGATAATGGCCATCCGAAGGACGAAAGAAAAAAGAAAGAAAGATAGAAAGAATGAAAGAGAAGGATAATGGCCAGCTGAAGAAAAAAAGAAAGAAAGAAAGAAAGGAGAATAGCCACCTGAAGATATAAGAAAACCTGGAATAAATCCCCCAAACTATTTCCATATTCCTCAATCAGTTCTGGCTGAATGAAAACAGTGGTTGTATTATAACAGGCAGGCCATTCTCACACTTTTTATCTCCCGTCTCTTGATCTTTTCTTCTTCCCCAGTCGCTAGTTTAACTCGCTTTGTTGAGTAATACCGACCTTAACGGTTATCCGGCTTTCATTTCCTTCCTGTCTGTCGTTTGGATATGGGTCATTCGGGTTTCCCAAAATCTTACGATATTGGGATTGAGGAGGAAGTCTAATGTGGACCACTCTTATGTACATTATATTGACGAGGAAGTCTAATGTGGACCACTCTTATGTACATTATGTACCATAGTTATGTAGAAATAATTCTTAACTTACGGCTGTGGTCACTTTTGTCAATTCGTTGGGTATCAGGACTGGAATAAGAACCTCTTCAATAAAATATACAACACTGTCGATAACTAACGACATGTTTATTGAATATAAAAAGTAAGAAATAATTAAACTGTTGAATGTGTATTACTTACCGCAAAATTAAGTTCTCTACGTACCGGAAGGTGATTTGAGAAATCTCGTAGCAAACGTTAAAACAATGATCATCCAGTCGACTGTCAATTTTTCTGTCATGCGTGTGTCCGTGTTTCCGGTCCGGCCACTAGAATTGAGGGTGTGTGATTTAGTAACGATTGTCTTACAATGCAATGCCGGGGAACTCCAAGTCAGATTTTCTCTTGTCAATGCTGGGCGTGGTGGCACTCGTTTCTATAGATGACGCACCGTAAAAAAGAAAATGATTTTGATATATCAAATTTCTCACCACGATCGATTAAATCTTAGGAGACCTTCTTAATAACCACATGGCATTCCCTTTGTTCAGAATTTTCTGTTCTTTCTTTCTGTAAAGATGAAGGCGTTTTGGGGCGGACAGTATCAACATACAGAAACATGAAGCTTGGGAATTCGACAAAATCTAGAGGCTTTCTTTGTTCATAAGAATCTGAGACATTCTTTTCTGTAGAAATATACGTGTTTTGGACGGTATAATGTAAAGAAACTTTCAAGTTTGTGATTTTTAGATTAGTGACTTTTACTTCTCTCGCCTTAATAATGTTCTTTGTCTAGAAGAATCTGGGTCATTCTTTTCTGTAAGAATAAAAATGTTTTGGATAGATAATATGACTGTAAATAAAACCCCCAACTTAATTTCTTAGGACCCAAAATTATGACAATGCATTAATCATGTCTTCTTTATATCGGCGAGAAGTGGATAGGTTGAGGAAGTCTGGTTTTGCTCAGTTTTGGTTTGTCATTTCTGGGTTCAATAATAATAATAATAATAATAATAATAATAATAAGAAGAATGATGATGATGATGATGATGATGATGGACTTGAGTAAATGGATGGTGGATCAAGCTATAGGAGAAAGAACCAAAAACAAAATGCATTAAGAGCCACAAAGAAGAGGAAGACGTGGTGAGCTATGATCGCCTATGTCCTGATGGGACACACAGCAGAAGAAGAAGAAGCTTGAGTAAATGGATGGTGGATCAGGCATTAGGAGAAATAACAAAAAGACAAACTGCATTAAAAGCTACAGGAAGTCGTGGTGAGCCATGATCGCCTAAGCCCTGATGGGACACGGCACAAAGAAGAAACACAAGAATGAGTTTGAGTAAATGGATGGCGGATCAGAGTTATAACAAGAAATATAACAAAAAGACAAAATTAAGTGCTACCAGGGACAGGAAGTTATGAAGAGCCATGATCGCCTACGCCCTGAGGGGACTTGGTACATGAAGAAGAAGAACAAGAGCAAGAAGAACGAGTTTGAGTAAATGGATTGCGAATCAGGGTTAAGGAGATATAAGAAAAATACAACATTTATTAAGTGCTACAAGGGACAGGAAGTTGTGGAGAGGCATGATCGGCTATGTTCTGAGGTGACATGGTCCATGAAGAAGAAGCGTTACACTTCACCCCCATAGTGTTTGTCTTTTATTCTTTGATTTATTGTCAGCTTTATTGAAACGTTTTCCGAGTTTGTTGTTTGTTTTCTGCCTTGTTCTCCACTTTCATTATCGCAATAATCTTCTATTCTTAATATATTTTTTCTTTCGCTCTTTTTTCCTCCTTTTTCGTAACCCCCTTTTCTAATCTAATTAAGCGCCAGCTTTCTCTCCCTCTTTTTATACATCTTCCTTCTTTACTGTTTTCCTTATATTTTTCCTTTTTTTTTTTTTATTTCCTTCCAGTTTTATCTTCAGATAATTTTCACTCAGTTTTTTCCACCCCGCCATTTTTGTTTTGTTATTACTATCGAGTTTTCTTCTTTGCATTTTCCTTCTGTTTTGGCTATTTTCTTTCTTTCTTTTATTTTTTGCTTCCTTTTTCTTTTATCCTTCTACTTTTCCTTTCGGTATATTTCCTTCATTTTCGTATTTCTTCTCTTTATTTTTACTCCTTCCAAATGTTTCCATCTTTTTTCTATCGTCATCCATTCCGCACTTTCATTTCTTCTGTCGATTCTTATTTCTCTCATCTCTCTAGTTCTTCCTTTCTTTCTTACCTTTCATTTTCTGTCTTTCTTTTAATTTCATACGCTTCCTAATCTTTTTTCTATTACTTTCCTACCTTTCATTTCTTTCTTTCATTTTCCTACCCTCTCTTCCTTCCTTTTACTTTCTTACCCTTTCTTTCTATTACTTTCCTATCTTTCATTTCTTTCTTTGTTTTAATTTCCTACCTTTCAATTCTTTTCTTTAATTTCTTTTAATTTCCTACCTTTACCTTTTCTTGTTTTTTCTTTTAATTTTCTACCCTTTCTTTCTATTACCTTCCTACCTTTCATTTCTTTCAATTCTTTTTAAAAAATTTTTTTAATTTCCTACCTTTCACTTCTTTTTTTAATTTCTTTTAATTTCCTACCCTTCCTTCCTTTCTATTACTTTCCTATCTTTCATCTGTTTGTTTTAATTTCCTACCTTTCAATTCTTTTTTAATTTCTTTTAATTTCCTACCTTTTCTTTTTTCTTCCTTTTAATTTCCTACCCTTTCTTTTTTTCTTACATTTTCCCACCATTCCTTCCTTTCTTTTACTTTCCTACCCTTTCTTTCTTTCTTTCTTTAAACTAGACTGGGCAACTGGCCATGGTTTTCATAACAGATAATTTCATTGTCCAGACTTCAGTAGTTATTACCTGGCCAGCCTCACTCCCATCCCCCTAGCAAAGCGTCTGACCTATCCATCTTTAACCCTTAGTGCACAATCTACCCACAATCTATACTCCTTTATTCGTATGTTGTTAGACTCGCTTGGCCACTCCTTAAAACATTTTAAAAATTTCCCACCTCGGCAACCTTCAGCCACGCTAAAACTCTTCACGGAGGACCCCACCCATTATTAGACCACCGCTAATATCTCTTCTACCTGACTTTTCTGAATTTGGCTGAGTGTCACTTCATCTTGGAAATGATAACATTTTGGCTGGAGTCGCCTGTAGGGGCGAAAGGCGTAGAGTGGGAGACAATCATCCAGAGAGGTGCATTTTATTTCTTCATCTTGTTTCTGCTTATTTAGGCCCCCGCCCGCGGACTAAATCTTTTTTTTTCTTTATTGTGTATAACACGCAGCTATTTTATTTTCGACGAGGTCAGTAATGCCGAATTCATGTGCCTGATAGACTCTCCCGACATTTTCGACGTTTCGATTCTGCTTTACATGACTTTTAATGTCAGCTTAAGACGCACATAGCATTTCACGTATAGGACAAGGAACTGCACCCCTACAAGTGCAGCAGGAATGTTAAAACAGTATTTAGTGATCTACCTTATAATTTATCGATGTTCAATGCGTGACTTCATTGTATACTATGGGGGGGGAGAGAGAGAGAGAGAGAGAGAGAATGTGTGTGTGTGTTTGAATGAATGAATGAATGGGGCGTAGGATATAGCACTGCATGTTGCCTGTCGTTATTAGCGATCTTAAGACCATGTGTCACTACTACTTTCACGGGGTCTCGCTATAGGCCACTGGTGGATTAGAAACGAGGGAACAAGAGAAAGTTCTATGCAAATGATCAGGGCTCAATTCTGAATGCGGTGATGGAAACAAGTTTCTACTACGCTACCTACAGACACATTTTGGCGAAAACGACCAAAGAAAATCCTATTACCTAATTCTAATAAACCCAAGAAAATATCTAAAAGAAATGATTGGCATAAAACGTTTAATATGTTTAAATAGGCCTCAATGAACTACAATCATTAAGCTACAGGAAAGCGAGGCATATTAGAAAGGAAACATCGCTAATAAAGGAAGCAAGGTGGATAGCCGAGTTCGAATTCCAGTCGAGTTACATGTAAATACCTTTGAGAAACGCATGGGTCCACCTCTTCTCCTCCAGCTAAATAGCAGGACAGACTGGGTCAAAGAGGAGGATAAGTTAGGATCCCAAACCTCCAACTATGGGTAAATAATAGAGCAAACTGTGTTCTTCAGCCTTGGTTGGCAACCAGTCTAGAAGAAGGATAACTCAAAGTATTCAAAAGTGTATATATCTCTGGAGAAGCACTTACTATACAGCTAATGAAAACATCGTAGAGTTATAAAATGCTCTCTGTGATCTTCACTGTTTGATCGGTAATGGTGAAACAGTAGAAGCAAAAAATATTGAGAGCCAAGTCTCATTATTTAAGCGCAGGACTAGATTGGCGGCAAGGTCTTATCATGTCACTGCTGAAATGACAAGATGTAAGCATAAGTTCTATGGTAACAGTTACTTCTCTCGTACTTCTCGCTTGTGGAAGTCTCTTCCGGCTTCTTGCTTCCCAGTCAACTTTGTTCATCAAAAATTTAAATGTAATGTCAATCGTCATCTGCTGTCCTTCCGGCTTTTTGCTTTCCTGTCAACTTTGATCTTCAAAAATTGAAATGCAATGTGAATCGTTAACTACTGTCTTCCTGATTACTCTTCTATTGTTCTCACTCAATTTTCGCTTATGGAACTCTCTTCCGGCTTCTTGCTTTCCAGTCAACTTTGATCTTCAAAAATTGAAATGCAATGTCAATCGTTATCTACTGTCTTCCTGATTACTCTTCTATTGTTCTCACTCAATTTTCATTTGTGGAACTCTCTTTCGACTTCTTGCTTTCCTGTCAACTTTGAACTTCGTAACCCCTTGCTTAATTTATATTTTAACTCCAAGTGCTTACTACTGTGAGATATCGTTATAGTACAAACACTCACTTTTGTCTAGTCGAATTACATAATAATATTGTTTACTGAAATGACATTATTATTATTATTATTATTAATGTTGTTGTTTTATTTCCCTTGATTTCTGTTGTATACTCATTTCCTTCCGGGTCCCAACCAGAAACCTAATGTCAGAAATGGTGTCATGACATTTTCCCCTGAACATCAACTTAAAAACACACAGCTTATACGTAGATAAAGCCATTCGTAAAGTTGTTTTTTGTACATGTGAGTACAATTTTTTATATTTCTTTAAGGCTTGGGCTACCAGAGATCACTTTAATGGTGTGTAAAGGAACCTTTTCCAATCAAATCTAGTGCTCAAATTACAACTGGAACTACTGATGTCATTATGTGCCACATTATTTATGGTTCCAATTATTATTATTATTATTATATGCCAAAATTTAAAATTTTTCTCTTATTATCATTATTACCGATAATCCAAAAGTAATTATCATAAAGCACTGGCGACTTTCGTTAGTACCAGGTGTTCAATTTAATTTAAATATGCCTCAGTGAACTATTATTAAACCAGGTAGAAACTACAAAAAAAAAAAAAAAAAAAAAAAAAGACAAAGGAAAAAATAAAAAGAGACGCACCCGAAAGAAATTCGTCCTGGGTATTACGATAAACTAAATCCGCGTCCAGGGTAAGACGATAAACTACATCCGCGTCCTGGGTAAGACGATAAACTACGTCCAACAGCAAGGCCTCTGATCAGGAGGCTTTGAGGAGCGTGGAACCACCTCTTAATTGCTGGTGTTCCCAGGTAGCACCTGTTTGGGTTCCAGCTATGGGCAAATAGGTAACTCCCAAACTGAGGTAAAAACCATTTTAAAAGTGTAAAAATAGGTTTTAATACCAGAAAGACTTTGTAAAAGTTTTGAAGAAAAAAAACTATTACCAGCAAAACGTTTTCGAAAAAATAATATTAACAAAAATAGATTTTTGACAAAACAAAAATATTACCAGGAAAAAAAAAGTCGGCATTAAATGACCCATTGAGGTTTATATGCCGTAAAACAAACCAAACCAAGACCGAAAGAAATACAGGTAATGGTAAAACACTACCCGCAAAGAAGAATAACGGGCGAAGGAGTGCGTACCTTTGCATTGTGATTCCTTGCTCTACTTTCCGCTGTACTACATGCTTGATTTATATATACAGTGACACTTTCCGCTACTTACTTTAAAGTATATACTTAATTATAGTAAAATGTTTTCCTGAATATACCATTCTCAAACTAGAGTGCGTCTAATATGGCCTTGAATTTTGGGGCTTTAAATAACGTATGTATTGAAAACCTTCCGGTGTTTTTTTTGGGGGGGGGGAAATATTTGATTCCATGTGTATCAAAAGTATTTTCGTTGTTTTTTTTTTATTGAAAGTTTCCGGAGCTTAAAAAACCCCAACAAACTATGATTCACCCATTATAAGGTTCAAGAGCCACTCAAGGTAGAAGGTTACTGAATGAGGTTGTTGTAAGTGCGTACAAGAGGGGAGCAAGATGATGATATGTAGGATAGACAATAGTTGTCCGTAGACATGAAAATATTAAGACTGTAGCGATCGAGGGAGCAAGAGGAAAACAGAAAGAGACAGGAATATATATATAGAGAGAGAGAGAGTAAAAGAAAATTTTTCTTTTCTAATAATAACTTTGGGAATTTGTTACAGATTGGGGGGAACCCAGACTGTGTTGAACATACGACAGAAAAGCAGAGAGAGAGAGAGAGAGAGAATGGGGGCATAGATAGTAAAACAGAGAGAGAGAGAGAGGAACGTAGAGAGTAAAACAGTAAGAGAGAGAGAGAGAGAGAGAGAGTGGGGGTATAGGTAATAAAAGAGAGAGGGACGGAGAGAGTAAAACAGTAAGACAGAGAGAGAATGGGGGCATAGGTAGTAAAACAGAAAGAGAGAGGAATGTAGAGAGTAAAACAGTAAGAGAGAGAGAGAGTGAGTGGGGGGCATAGGTATTAAAACAGAAAGAGAGAGGGATGTAGAGAGTAAAACAGTAAGAGAGAGAGAGAGTGGGGGCATAGATAGTAAAACAGAAAGCGAGAGGAGTGTAGATAATAAAACATTAAGAGAGAGAGAGAGAGAGTGATGGGTTAGAGAGAGAGAGAGATGGACGTAGAGAGGCGAAAAGTGAATTCATGAGCAGAGGGGGGGTTGCAAAGGCTTATTTTAGATAAAGTCAGTTGTTTGTTGTGAGGGGTTAGGTCAATGTTCGCGACCTACCCATTTGCTGAGTACAAATTCGTCACTGAACTACGGCGGACATCTTGAAATTAAAATCTTTCTTTATTCTTAAATCTTAAAAGAAAAAAGATGACCGATTGAATCGAACAGAGATATCGCGCCAAGTTTTGCCAAAAAAGTTGCTGATATTCAAGTTCAAAACATTCAGAGGATTCAGATCAATGAGTGGTACAAACGCTTTAAAGATGGCCGCACCTCATTGGAGATCGAGGGACGCTCAGACAGGCCATTCACAAACCGAATCGAGGAACGGATTTGAAGATTTGGCGATTAGACATGGAAGACTCACTAACAATCCAGGATCAGTGTATTTCATTTTAATGAAGGATTTGTGCATGCGTAGAGTGTCGGCGAAATTTGCCCGCTGTGTCCGCCCACATAATCCAAGCTTTGCTGGTCAAGAACACACTCACTACCTGTTTGACAGGCTCCTTACTCTCCCGACCTGGCACCGTGTGACATCTGGCTCTTCCCCAATCTGAAAACCACGCCGAAAGGGAAGCGATTTGCGGCGGAGCTCCACAGTGTTCCATAGAAGACCGTTACAGGGGTGTTACCAGCAGTGACAGAACCGCTGGGAGAAGTGTGTGAATTTCCAAAGAGAGTATATTAAATGAAATTTGTAAAATGTACAAAATTGATTGTTTTTAATGCCCAAAAGTCAGAGTTTTAGTCGTTATTGATTTTAATAATCCGACATATTAGTAGCAGTTTTGTGAAGAAAGCAGGAGATAAATGTGATGTATGATGCTGGAAGTAAATTTGCCGTAGAGGATTCTGAAATCAGTGCACTTTCTATATATATTCGCCTTAATAAGAATTGTTTTAATAGGAAGCACAAAGTCGAAATTATGGTCACATCTATTACGATGAATGACTAATTTATTGACTATCTCTCTCTATATACATATGTGAAAAGTGTATATAAATAAATATATATATATGTATAATTATTTATATATCATATGCGCGGTACTTGTTAGAAAGCGCTCAATATCAGAGATAGAACTAACATATTTGGTTGGATAGATGTGAGTTTGTGACCTGGGTTTCACGCTTTGGCGATCGTCAGACGTCTGACGATCGCTAAAAATCGAAACCCAATATATATATATATATATATATATATATATATATATATATATATTCGTATTCTCTCTATTCATAGCTCTATCTATTTATTAATAGATATCTATATTCATACCTATCTATATTCATTTCTATCGCTATCTCTCTCTCTCTCTATATATATATATGTATTCATATCTATCTATATATCTATATTCATATCAATCTCTCTATATTATACTAATAATTACACTTGGTAGGTACAGAAAACCCGGATGGAACAATTTGCATGTATAAAAAAACAAATTGGTATCCGAAGGAAAAAAAAATTGGTAAAAAAAAGAAAGAACTAGAAACATCCGAACCGGGCGAAAAAAATCGTCCAGTGCCTTAAATTTCCAGTCCACAGAGAGAGAAAAAAATACCCCAAGCGAGGAAATAAGATAAAACGCAGAGGGATCAATAAGCTGAGAAGAACAAAAGAATAAAGTAAATCCTAAAGGCCCAGGAATTATCTACCAAGGTTTTTTTGTTTTGTTTTACCTAAATGGATCTTCAGGGTGCAGCTGGCTAAAGAGGAAATGACACAGTACATATTTATTGATAAAACCAAAACTAAAAACTAAAATTAGCATAAACCTAAAATAGTAAAAAAAAAAACACGTACTTTATTCTATCTATCTATCGTTGTTCATTATGTATATATTTATCTAAGACTATCTAAGGTTGTTCATTATGTATATATGTATATATTTATCTAAGACTGTTCATAATTTATCTCTCTCTCTAAAACTGTTCATTATGTGTGTATATATATATATATATATATATATATATATATATATATATATTTATTTATCTAAAACTGTTTATTATCTAAGATTTTATTATCTATCTATCTCAATCTCTCTCTCTATAATCTTCACAAAAGAAAAATTAAATAAAAATCTTAATTTCAGCACCATGTTTGTCATCGTTAAGGATATATATATATAATTTTTTATATAGACAAAAACATTTTACTCACTACAAAGATGCAACTCCGTTTCAGTGCATTGAAAATCTTTGTAGTGAGTAAAATGAAAAAAATATAATAATTATTGCTCTACTATCGGTATTGAGCCCTCTTTTGAATTAATGCTGTGAACGTTAGAAATTATATATTATTTTCGTTCTCATTGCACTCGGATATATATATATATATATATATATATATATATATATATATATATATATATATATATATAAACACGCTCTATCTCTGATATTGAGCACTTTATCCCATAAATATAGCACACCTTAAGAGTATATGTTTTTCATCCAATATTCGCTTCAAGATGAAACGTAAGAACACCGGATTATATATCTTATTGTTCTTTCTTATTTATATATATATATATATATATATGGGAAGAAAGTGAGTAAAAGTTGTCACTTAGCTGATTGATGTTACCTTCAGCATCCCGACTCCAGAGTTTCGTGGACGGACCTGCTTGTCCACTCTTGAGCGGGTATCAGTAATGTTTCTTTAAACGTCATTTTAGTGGACACTCGTATCTGAGTAGACGCTCTGTTTATTTATTAAACAGCATATTCATTTATTATCGTTTAGCGGCACGCCCTAAGGAATTGAGAATTACGAGAAGTTTCGCTTAAGGACGCCATTTCAACTTTGTTTTGTTCATTGTAGCTCAGTTGGATAGAGTGTGCCGGGTTTAAAGGAAGCTCCATCTGCCAGGGCGATACGCAGGTTCGAATCCTGTCGGAGAGCGTAAATATTGCTTTGGCATTTCTCGAAATATGTAGCCGAAAGCTTAGGTAATAATGTAGTTTAAATAAGGCTTTAGCTCTAAATCTCGTTGAAAGACCGGTTCCAGTAGGATCATCGAAGTTAAGCAACGTCGTGTATAGTCAGATGGGTGACCGCTAGATGCTGCTGATATATATCTGTCTATGAGGTATATTTAAACTTATTTAGGTGATGATGATGTGGTTCATGTAAAGCTTTATCTCTACATCTCGTTGAAAGCCCGGTTCCCTTATGATTACCAAAGTTAAGCAACGTCGAACCTAGTCAGTATCCAGATGGGTGACCGTTTGGGAATACCAGGTGCTGCTCATATCTATCTGTCTACGCGTGTTTTAATGTGTACGCATATATGCAGATCTGTGTGAGAGATAACGAGAAACACACTTAGCAATTCTCCTTGATGTTATTTTCTTTTATAACCATTGATTCTTGCTTTCCGCCTCGTTCTGTCACGAACGACTGTAAACCACAGACGAAAATCAACAATCCTTCTATTGGCATAATTCCGATGGGAAGAAAACTTAATTGAACAAAAAGACCCCCAAAAAAACAAAAAACAAAAAAAAACAAAAGAAAATGAAACAAGAAACTTTGCCATTTTTATAATCCTTTTTCATTGGTCTTGAATTACCTCAAAATATCTTGCTTGATTTCGTTTCTTCGAATTTAGCGCTTCTTTCGCACTTGTTTCTCTCTCTCTGCTTAGCTTTCTTTTCCTCAATGACAACCTCTCCCCACTTCACATTCTTTTTACAGTCTGTTTCATGTGTAGATTATATATAACACACACATTATATATATATATATATTACACACACATTATATATATGTGGATGTGTGTACACACATAACTACAAAAACATATACACTCATATACATATAAGCTACAAATATACATGTATAAATTTACACACATATATGTATTAATATATATATATATATGAACTATATATAAGCTCAGGATATATATATATATATATATATATATATATATATATATATATATATATATATTCTTTTCTCTTATCTAATAGCAGTATTTTTCATCTTTTCATTTATTTCCAACAATTTTTAACTTCATTCTGCCAAATTGTCTTTTACGCCCGCTTTGCGATTTGCTTCTTTCGATTGTAGCCTTGCTCAGCAAAATTCCGTGAAGCTTCTATTTAATTTGGCTTTAAATTCTTTCGTCCTGCACACACAAGTTATATATATATATATAATATATATATTATATAAATATACTCACACACAGGGTGATTAAAAAGTGAGGAAAGCGTTTAGCATGAGGTTTTATTTAAAATTTGATATGGGTACCAGATTTCGCTCCCATCTTCTCGAGGAACTGCGTCAAGTGATTTCACCAGGAATTCTTGTGGTGTGGAAGACATAACTTCTTGTATTTGTCCTTCAAGTTCTACCAAAGTCTTGGTTTGGTATAATAGACATTCTCCTTTAACCAACCCCAAAGAAAAAAGTCACGAGTTATTAAGCTAGGACTCCTGGCTGGCCACTCATACAAAAACAAGCAGGTATTTTTCAATTGCCCTGCATATATATTTCTTAATTGATTTATTAATCACAATTAGTGAATAAGTTACGTCATTCATTTCAGTCGAAGAAGCAGAAAAACGACATTTTTATTTTTATTTTTAAGGCTCTGGCTTACAGTACTCAAAAGTATGGACTGAATCGAGGCATGATTGACTGTGGCGAGTTCAATCCTCGTTTCGTCAAGTGCCAAAAATCAAAATTACTCCTCATACCTTGACACTGCATGAGACTACACTATGCGGTGGATAAATTGCTGCCATTTTTTATTTTGCGCATGCGCGTTGTTTTTGATTTTGTCGACTGTCCAAGTATAGTAGGATCAGTTGGTCACCGTCTGTGAGAAAAAGGGCAGATATTTGGAAATTTCATGCTGTACTGCTTGGCATTCGCACCGGAAACTCCAATACAAACCAATCTGAGGACAGTGCAGAGAATTCGGAAAGAGTTGGCTGATATATATACAGTAAAGATGTTGATGTTTGCAATGATCACTAGTGATGGGGATGTCATGCTTCCATTCATATTCACACAAGGCAACAGAATCAACATGGAGGGCGACATCAAGTGCCTCGAGACACTAGTGCTACTCTGGGTCAAGAGGGATATAATATATATATATATATATATAGAGATATATATATATATATATAAATATACATATATATTATATATTTGGTTGGATTGATGTGAGTTTGTGACCCTGGGTTTCACGCTTTTACGATCGTCAGACAAACTGATTCATTTTTTTTTTTTAATTTTCGGTTTATGTAGATTGTTTTTATTAGTGTTATTATGGGAGTGGGGGGATCGTTGTCGTGATGTCATCATGCTAACGCAAACATAGATGCATGTTCATACGCATGATGAGGTATGCAGACACACATACACACTTGGTCGTCCGTAGGGACTCATACATATATAAACATATGTAGACAGTTTCGGATTTGAAACCAAGGATCCAAAATGAAACTGCAGAAATAGAAAAACATGTCCACTCCAGGGAAATTGCCAACTTACGGACACAATATACAAGGCCAAGGTAAGTGCAAACAACAACATAATGTACTACATCGGTGCCACTGAAGGTCTATTCAAGAAGAGGAGTAACAATGACAACATTTCATTCACCAACAGGAAATACTCGAACAGCACTACGCTATCCACATACATATGGCAGCAAAAAGACAGAAATATCGCACCAACAATAAGTTGGAAAGTATTGAAAAAAGCCCCTGCCTACAGCAACATAACAAAAAAATGCTTACATTGCCTACACGAAAAAGTAGCAATAATATCATACAAACCGCGAAAGAATTTACTAAAGAAAAAATCAGAGATAATCTCCAAATGTAGGCATGAAAATAAGTACCTATTATCCGAATTTATATCAAACGGATAAACAAATAAAAAAAAAAGAAAAAAAAGACAAACCACCAACAATCACAATTTAATTTAAGATACCATCACAATAATTGCATCTATCGTTATTATCATTGCACCACCATTAGTAATCACTTCTACCACTTTACAATAACTATTAACTACTAATATTATCATTACCACCAACACCATTACTACCACATCACATCTATTAACATATAAATTCATTCTAATCATTAACGTAAATTACTCCCCCAGCATATTTAATACGACAACCCACCCCAAAAAAACCAAAACAAAAAAAAAAAAAAAAAAAACCAATAAGATCAGAGATAATTTCCAAATGTAGGCATGAGAATAAATACCTATTACCAGGATTTATACCAAAATAAATAAATATAAAAATAAAATAAAATAAAACAAAACATCAACAACAACTCTTTAGTTCAAGCTAGCACTACTATAATTACATTTATTGGTTTTTATTATTCTCCCACCAACATTACTAATCACTACTACCAATTTACAATAACTATTAACCACTTATATTATCATTGTCACCAACCCCCTTACACATTACTATCACATCACATCTATTATTATCATATAAACCCGTCATAATTTTTAACGTAAACTACCCTCTCCCCCAGCATATTTAATACCACCATAAAACCAATAAGGATTACAAACTGAAATTTCTACCAGTCACATATACAGTCATCAAAAAACTAAAAAAACAAGCAAATAACCAGCTTTAAAATAATAACAAAAGTTTTGTTTTCTTTTGTAAATTAAAACTTAAAAATTATAGCAATCTTCAACTGCCATAATTTTACACAGAATACCTATTATCAGGATTTATACCAAAATAAATTAATACATATAACAAAATAAAACAGCAACAACCACTTTTTAGTTCAAGCTACCACCACAATAATTGCATTGTTTTTATTCTCCCACCACCATTACTAATCACTTCTACCAATTTACAATAACTATTAGCTACTTATAGTATCATTGCTTCCAATCCCTTACAACATTACTATCACATCACATCTATTATCATATAAACCCGGTATAATTATTAACATAAACTACCCCCTCCCCCAGCATATTTAATACCACCATAAAAATAACCAATAAGGATTACAAACTGAAATTTCAACCAGTCACATATACAGTCATCAAAAACTAAAAAAACAAGCATTAAAATATAACAAATAAAACGCTTTTTTTTAAAAATCAAAAATAATAATAATTTTTTACCCATCATAATTTTACACAGACCTCACTACACGTATATACATACATGCGAGGAAATATTATTCAGTGGAAAAATAGTAAAATGCTCTGATTTTTGACATGTACATTCACGAGAAATTTTCATTACACTTCCAATCTTTGAATTTCAACAACCAAATGCGTATGTATATAGACAACAGCACACATATACATACATATGTCAAATCCCATACTGTCCACATATGTTTATGTCTGTATGTGCCCCGGCGGACGAGCGAGTGTGTATGTGTGTCTGCGTACCTCATCGGGTGTACGGACATGCATCTATGTTTGCGTTAGCATGAGTGACATCACGACGACGATTCCCCCCACTCTCATAAAAACACCAATACACGCAATCTACATAAACGCAAAATTTAAAAAAATTAATCAGTTTGTCTGACGATCGCAAAAGCGTGAAACCCAGGGTCACAAACTCACATTTATGCAAACAAATTTGTTAGCTCTATCTCTGATATTGAGCGCTTTCTAATAAGTACCGCGCATATAATATATATATATATATATATAAAAAATAAATATATATATGAAAATAAAAATATATATATATATATATATATATATATATATATATATATATATATATATACGAGTGAGTGCTAGATGCAAATAGCAGGAATAGAGTTAAAAAGGCAGCGTCGGGCATACCCTGGGAACCTGCTGTCCTTAAACTAACTCTGCATCGAAAGTTAAAATCATTTTCTCCGTAAGGGGCCTTCAATGTTATCAGTTATCAGCGGACGTCTAGTAAGCGATCACTGGCCGATGGGTTAGGTCGGAGTGCCGTGGTTTAATTGTTGGATGTTGGCAAGAGCGTTATCTTATGATGGAGTAAAGGCCAAGATAAGCCGTCGGTCCTATAACTGTCCTGGTCGACGAAGTGGCGATGCAGATAAGAAAGAATTGTTCTTGGAGGAATGGATGATAGCGGCTAGGATATAGGAAAGGATGAGATAATAATGGGTGCGGCGGTGATGGAGACGAGAGAAGAATATATAACAGAATGAAAAATATGGAGAAATATGTATGCAACAGGTTTCGACCTAATCAAAGGACTTCGTCAATCTAAAC